TGAATCAGTCCCAATGGCGTATGCATAGCCGTGAGGTGTCTGTCCCTAGGGTCAAGCGGTACCTCATCATAGCCTGAGAACAGATCACAGACCGAATAGATCGACCTACCTGTTGCGCCTTCTGCCAGTAAATCGGCGTGTGGCACGGAGCCCACGTCTCGTATCGTCACCGCGTTGACCTTCTGAAGGTCCTGGATCCATCGGATCTTACCATTCGGCTTTCGTAGGAAGAACCATCGATTTGCATAAGCGCTATCAAACGGCTCCGCAACGTGGGAAACCATCTTTTCTTTCAGCAAGGGGATAACTTCTTCCTTCTCCTTCTGGGCATATTTCCATCCCACGTCATTCCAGGGAACATGTGGTATCGTGTAAATCCTTGCTGGCTTAGCGTATCGAGGGTCAATCCTACCGCGCTCCGCGTCGCTGAAAGCTATGGCCTTATCACATGTCTTCAGGATTTCTATCACACGTTCTCGCACTTGTGGGGTCAAATTTCCATCTCCGATGTCCATCCCTGCTATCCTCTCTTCCGTTAGGCGTTTGCGGCTCGTTTTTCTTTCTTCCTTTGATTTCTTTTGCGATCTCTTCTTCCGATATCCCTTCTAGTGCAGATCGCTCGCGCCCCACCGCCGATGGCTTAACTTTTTGCGCTACTCGTTTGTGTCGCTTGGGTAGCCCTCCATAGGGGGCCGTGCCCTTAAAAAAGACACGGATATCACACCGCCAAATTCCTCATCTTTTTCCTTTGGGTACGAGTTGCCGTCCACTATTAGCCGACTCCCTAAGTCTTCGACCTCCACCATCCGACCTTCTTCCTCTGTGAGCAGTGGTCCATATTTCCTCTCGCGAAATCGCACCGCGCGGCTGGAGATAGGCAACGACTTAATCTGCTCACCGGGTCTTGTACCCACTGCTAGAGCTGCTCTGTTCCTCGGGTCTCGAGGCTCCACTGTCTCAATCATTACCCGCGTCTCGTCTGGCTTCTTAATGGACAATGTTTGGCTCCCATCAGGTCGCTCTATCGTCACCGCATGCACGTGGCTCAACCACGTTCGACCTAAGAGCAGGTCGGAGCTGCAGTTTTTGACTGCAAAGACAGGCAGAGTCACTCGTACCCCTTCGACCTCTATGGTTGCCTTGTGACAAACCCCAGTGATCTGTTGCTTTCTCCCGTCAGCCGTCTCTATCTCGAATAGGTATGACCTATCGAGGCCCAGTCCAACTTGTACCGCCAGGTCCTCGTCTATGATGACAGCCTCACTGCCGTTATCAATCACAGCATCGAGTACCGCTCCATCGTTTATAATCGTCTCCACGGCCCCGCTATCAAGTATATAAAACTTGTCTGGAGGCACACCTTCCATTCCATCAAGAAGGACTGTCGCCATGCGATTCGCTCTGGCAGTCACCCATGTTACTGCTACTATAGAAGCTTCCGCCTTAGGGGCCCCCTGACCCTCCTCCGATAGAGGTATGCGAGTCTTCCGTATGATCATCTGTAACTCATCACGAGCTGGCTTCGATGCCGCCAGGTACTCCAGAATAGAGCACTGCATGGGTTGTCGAAGGGCCCGCCTCAGTGGCTCGACCGTGTCAATCTCGTCCATCGAACTCTTCATTAAGAACTTCTTGACTCCCCGCTTTCGCGGCGAAAGGATAACCTCTTCTCCATCGACCCGCTGCCCGTCCTTCTCCGCCATCACGTAATCCGTGTCAGTTTTCTTTGATGTAGACCCTCTCGCCGACTTGGTGGCTGCCACCCTACCCTTATGGGGGTGGTCGCTATACCCCCCTAAAAGGTTATCTTGATACTCTGGCTCCTGACCGGCTCCATTCCTTTACTCGTCTTTATTCTCCTTGCTTCGACATTCTCCTTCATTGAAGGGAACA